GCAATAGAATTTCAGTGAATTTATTACCTTTTCTTCTCCGGACTCAGGCTAGTAGGCTGTCCATCGCCGACATTAAGAAAACAGAAAACACAAGGATAAAATAATAAAGACGTATTTACGCTTTTGCAGCGGTGAAAACAGAAGAAATTACGTTTAGAAACACCTTTTGCCTGATAAGCGTCTGTGGTTTTTAGCGGAAAAATCCCATCTTAAGTGGCTACGAGGTTGACTACGAAATATTGGGTACCCTATTTGTTACTATTTGCCACTATTTGCCACTATTTGCCACTATTTGCCACTATTTGCCACTATTTGCCACTATTTGCCACTATTTGCCACTATTTGCCACTATTTGCCACTATTCGCCACTATTCGAGACTGTTCGCCACTATTCGCACTATTCGTACTATTCTCTATTCGCTATTCGGGACTATTCGCTATTCGCGTTTTCCAGACACCCGTCCTCGACTTATCAGTTTGCGTTTCGGTTGACTGACAAGCGCATTCTTCTTTCACACGACTTCATCTCCGTCGGTAGCTACAGAGTCGAATCTTAATCGTTTGTTTCACTTTCCTGGTATATTTATAAATGCTTGATCCATTCTAAGTTTGTAATTTAGATATATTTCGTTCCTCACAGACGAAGCTCAAAGAACAAAACAAATCCGTATTCGGAATGGCCATTGAGTAACGCGGCCGGATTACGACCTCCGGTGGGCGTTTGTTTTTATTAAAATCCACGAATACATAGCTAGTTCACCAGTCCGAAGCCTCAACAATCTTATTCGCCTCGTTGTAGAAGGTAGGCTTCGTTTACTATTCGCTTAGGAAAGTCTCTATTTCGAGTACAAAAAACGCGATGCGTTTAATTTAGCGTGTGATTTGCTCACCGATGGTTTCGTCTGGGACTCGGAGGATCGTTTGCGCTCGAAATAGTCAGACGGCTTCCAGTTTATCCCAAATTCGTGTCCTATGCAGTACCTTGACAATTTCAAGCTTTCCATTAGAGATAGTGAAGAATATGCAGGCCATGGAAATCTACAGGTTTTTACAGTAGCGGCGAACCCTAGATCGAAGTAATCCTCGATGGCCCCCGGCTTTAGCTTCGCACAGATCAGCCCACTTCTTTGGTCTTTTTCTCGTTTCTGGTAGAGTTTCATCGAGATAGAGGTATTGAATGAAGAGGAATACTCTATTCTACCCATCTTGTATTGCTAAAGCCTTCAACAACTTGACATATCTTTCTTGAATTCTGCAACGATGCGATTATGAGACACACTATCGCATGTTCGCATAACGTACTGACATTCTTCTCAGAAACAAAATACAGTCGAACATCCGGTTGCGACCACCTCTCGTAAGCGACCACCTCTCCTCAGCGACCAGTTTTCCAAGATACCAAAAGTTTTCAAGTCAAATCACTATATTTCGAACCTCTTGTAAGCGACCACCTCTCATAAGCGACCGCGACCACTTTTAGAGCTAAAAGTTTGAAACTTTCCTTTGTTTTTAACCTCCCGTAAGCGACCACTTGGCAGATAATAGAGGGAAAATTGGAAAATAAGGTGTTGTAACATTATCGTATTCCTGGCTAGTACAAGAAACGGACATTTCTCAATGGGAAGGTTAGGATTTTTCTCTCGAAATTGACTTATATATATATATGAATAAAACATTGCATCAGCGTTGGCGCATAGGTTAAGTCTCGACAGTTTATTTTCTAATGAGGAAAAATTTTGACCCATTATGATCGAAGCTCTCGTAAGCGACCACCTCCCATAAGCGACCACCTAGGCTTGACATTTTGGCAAATTTGCAAACTTTGAAAATTCATACAAAATTAACGAAAATAGCTACAAAGATAATTTTTTCGCAGTGGTGATCAGGAGATAAAAGAAATTTATATTAGCGAAAAACAATTTGGGGGTTAGTGGCACATTAAGCTATAACGGAACGTTTAGTCAGACGTGACCGGAAAGAAATTCAGTCTATCAGTAATGAGATCTTATGCACGTACTCTAAAATATCACTTAAAGAGAGTCACGTTTAACTCTTTCAACACTAGACAGTAAAGTTGACCAAGTTTGCCTTGCTTGCTTGGTTGCTTACAAAAAGGGAACAGTGATTAATATTTCATTCTAATATTTCTTCTAGTTAAATGCTTCATGGTCAATAGGCAACGGGCCATTCAAAATACTGCTTTGAAGATATTTTCAATAATCAAACTAATAAAGTTCAATAAGTTATCAATTTTTTTTTGCCACGATTGGGTTTTGCAGTTTCAGAGACAATATGCCGTGAGATAATCCTATGCCATCCCGTTACATTTTCTTTTTAGGCCAGTTGCCACTGTGTTAATTTTTTTCATACCCAACAAAAGATCTAAAAAGAAAGAACTGATACCTTTGGAAAATAGTAAGCTTACATAACAACAATAAAAGACTTTGAAGCGGATCGATTCAGTTTACCTGCTGTAGGAAGCACTTCGATTCTGTTGAAATCCGCCTGATAAACCTTCTTTGTTTTCCGCGGTAGATTTTTGTACAAACTGGAGTTTCCTTGAGCTCCTCAGATATGAGACTTCTGTGCTTTCCACTGCACTGCCAGTTCTTTATGGAGTAGCACTAAGTATATCCTTCCGGGGTTGTAACGGTCGGGAATGTGTGGAGGATCAACTTCGGAATTTTACAGCTTCCCACATTTTTCATTTTCTTTTTTACACTCGGGTAATTTAATTATTGAAAGGGAGTTTGGGAAACCCACAACGATAAGAGAAGTGAAAATGTTCTACTTCACAGAAATCTTGGAACATCTCTTATAGCCACCTTGTGAAAAAACACAAGGTGAAACTACCAAATTCGGCGAGTTTTCTGGTGAAATTGAGCTTTGAGGGTAAATAATCAATGTTTCTAGTTGGAATTGCACGCGTCTTTACATTTCTAGCAACTTCTAGATGAGAAGGGCACAATAAATGGCTCCAGAAACTTCAGTCAGAATATCTCATTTTTAATCGACGTTACGTTGTCCTCTGCATCTCTCTCGCTGTGTTTTTTTTTTCTAGTCGTTTATTCCTCCTATTTTTTTTTTGAAAAATCTAGTTTCGTACTTTTGCATTATCAAATATAGACAAACTAGCGAGAAACGTCCAAAACAATCAACAAGGTTTTCAACGACTTGCAGCTCTAATGTACATTTGAAGGTTCGTGCCGGAGGGTAACATCCGCCGACACAGCGGAGGACATGGACCACTTCACTCACTAGTTAATCCTAACAGATAATGAAATTACGTATTTTATTATTTTGCTCAAACAAGGAAAAACATCCGCTTATAACCGATGCAACGGCTAAATGGGAATCTTGAAGAGACATCTGAGGCTTTTTTCCTAGTCATGAAATGACCAACTCATTTCAATTTATCGCCGTTGAAACGTTGCTGAGACTGCGGGGGAGTAAAACATGAATAACATCTTTTCGGTTGTTCAATATTCCCCCGCTTTCCAGCGTTTCAATGCTAGAATAATCTTCCAATCAATAAAGAAAGAAACTATTACTCGTAAACCAACAACAAGTCAATATCGAACGCTTTATTTCAGATATCAGAACAACCGTATATTGCCAGCGATTAAATGGCGAAGTTTCGTGGGGTTTCGAATTCCGACGCGTTCGTTTCGATGTTCGTATTGAAACAAGTGTCATGGTAAATCCGGCCGGTTAGTTAATGTTCTCATATTCTCATCTCCAGCCATTTGCCATTTAATATAACTTTACTGCTCAAGTCCATCACCCTTGGTGCGGACTGTCTGCTAGACCAGGTCATGCAGAAAACAAGCAATTTTTTCGCGTGGCAAGACAGAACATCTAACTTATCAAAGCACGGTTAAAAAGCTAAGTTATGGAGCAGATATGCAAGGGTTGAAAAATATTTGCTTGTCTGAGAAAATGAGACCAGACCAGTTCCAACAGACATAACATTACTACAGTTGCAAAGGGTTCGTGAAAACCAAGTCAGAAAATAGAAAATGGAATGTCACTGCTGTAAACAATATCGAATAAGAGTTCACAAAAATAGATGTCGACCCAGCCTCCGTCTTCCGGTAATCATTTCTGGAGGAGAAGTTATACCGCAAAGGGCCTTTGTATTTATTTGTTCTTTGCCAAAGACGTCAGTTTTGTGAGCCGAAAAACCTTTTGTTCAATCATATTATTCTAAGGAGGACACGAGCTTGGGTGGTGATGGTTTCCTTAGGTGAACACGTTCGCATATTCGTTATTAGCATGATCCAATGAGAATTCAGTCGCCTGTAAATCCTGTGGCTGACCTAACAGAAAATAACATGACCCAAAACGGTCAACAAATAAATACTTATACATCTTGTATATTAATTTAGTAGAATAGGCACAGGGCTCTGCTAAAACAATTCTTCTAGTCTGATTCTTGATTTGCATCATGGTTGAATGTGGCAGTTGGCCTTGCCCTATTAGCGGGTACCGACCTCGAGCTCATTGTACAATTATTCAGTTAAGGAAACTATTAGCCAAGACAAGAGTCTTGGTTGAAAAACGCTTTTAAGCCCAAAATGTTTTCTGTTTAACTAGTCCGTGAATCTTAATTATGACTCATTGTCTCTGTACTTGGTTCAAATGATCACTTAATTGCTGCCACTTGTACCACATTTCTCGCATATTTGCCGCCTAATTTGCAATAAGGCTGTAACAAATGGTATTTGTGCTATGAAAATATTCGAACATAATAAAAATAGAAAATTAAAGCACATTTCCGCATATTATTTGTTTGCAATAAGGCTGTAATGTATGGTATTTCTGATATGAGAGTCTTCGAAATTAAAATAGTAATAATACTAATAATAATAATAATAATAATAATAATAATAATAATATTGCTTTTCTAGTGTTATTATTATAATAACAATAAATAAAAAAGTACATTTGCCGCATATTTGTTAGCTAAACTGCGATAGAATGCTACAATAAGGCTTTTTACAATAACTGCAGAAATTCGGGCGCGCTCGTGGGCTAAGTTTCATTGTCAATAAGCGGACAGACGCATGTATTTGTAACTGCTGCGGAGCGAGGGATGCGAGCGAGTAACAACATAATCAGGATTTAAGAAGAATATATAGAAGGGGGCACGAATTGTCGAATTCATCACTTTTTACCAGAATGCATTGCATTTAACCAGCGCGTACTGCGCCAATTTTACCAGAGTGCATTGCGCCACGAACGTCACAAGGACGTCACACCGTCGAGCCGTCGTCCTTTTTCGCGTAGATTCCAGTGAAAAAGTTTGCCCTGATTTACCCGTAAAGCGATGTGAAGGAGATCGTGCTTGACTTTCACAACTCTTGCTTTTGTTCCTTATGCAGTATGTGATATAAGGCACGACATTCGTGGAAAGCAGTTTTTTTTTATTTAATTACCTTTTATCTATTAGTTATTAGTAGTTTTAGCTGACGAAATTTTACCGTGTTTAAATAAAGATTATCTATCTATGATAAAGCTTTAGCATTTTCACGCATCGCGATGGACGCGTTGTCGACATAGTCTGTCAACATTCTAGAGATATTTTTATTAAAATACGTACCAGTACAATATTTATAAGTTAGATTTCTGCTCCAACAATTTCCACATCTTTCGATTTTCGCGATCTGGTAAAGGGGAGGTTGATGTGTACCGTTTTATGTCCAAACATAGTTCAATTCACTATGTGGGTTTTAATCTCGATCCCTTGTCACACCTAGCCATCAATACGTCATCATGTATGAAGTTGATGCATACAAGGACAGATTTTAAGTTACACACCACGATTTGACACTACTTAAGAAATAAAGATTAATGTAAGTCTTGGAACGCGCAGATAGATGAATCACTGTGTTCAGTATGTCACTATCAACAGAATGTGCTGCAGCATTACTAACTTTTAGATACCCTAGTCTATGTAATGCTGACGCGTCGAGCCGGAGAGCGGACAAATTGACAATTTGTTATTGTAAAAAACAAATTGACGTCAGTTTTTCATGCGTCTCTCTTGTTGTTCATCATGAATTTCTTCATAACATTGTCAAACTAGCTGTGGATCCACGAGACGATGGCATGATATTTGTATTAGTACGTATTTGAAAATACAAATAAAAAAGCAATAAAAAAGTTTGTGACTAATTAAGTTGTATATGCTGCATAAAGGCGTAACTACCCGGTAAAAGAACGTTTGCTCTACGGGGAGCAGTGTCGCGTTACGACCGCGCGACAAAACGGTTGCAAAAGAGAGGGGAGAGGAACAGAATAGGGAGGAGGGAAAAATGGCGCCAAAAAAAGTTGGGAAGAGGGAGAAATAGGGCAAAAAAGTAGGGAGGAGCTAAAAATCGATATCGTGCAACATGGCGCACAGGGCAACTTAAAACGCAACATTTTGTTCCGGCAACATGTTGCAGGTTTTTGAAAGTGATTAAAAAACTTGCGACAAATTTTCAATGTTGCGTTAAAAATCGTATCGTGTAAATACCGTTGCCGACCGTTGCCGCAACAAAAGTTGCGTTAAAAGTTGTCTTAGCTTTTCTAACATGGATTAAAAATCGGCTTCTTCGTGGCCGCATGTAAACTCTGGTTTTAAGGCCAATGCGGTTAGTCTTGAAAAGATGAAAAGCAACACAACACAATTTCGAGTTAACTTTAAAACACTCGTTTTATTAAGAATCACACACTAAATACAACTTTCTTTTTCACAGAATTAAAAAATAATTGATAAGCATATAGCTATTTTTCGCACCATTAAATGTGGTGTACTGTGATTCTTTTATAAAAAGAATTATTATCAAACTCAATAAACACACTGCTCTGAAAAGTGACAATTGATCATAGACCTGTAAGCTGCTATGTAGCCTACCCAAGAAGGGCTAACGTATAACACTTATTTGGTTTGGGCTCGGGCACCTCACCAGGAAAAATAAAATTTCTTTTATCACTGGTTACCGAATTGAAGCCCAGCTACAATCTTCGCCAAAGCATAACTTAAACACTCGCCAAATTGTGAAATTATCATATTTGTACGAATGGAAAATCAACCCATGATTCTTTCTCTGAAAACAACGGCTTATAACACTTGAACAAAAAGAAATGAGTCGAAACATCAATCCGTAGCTTAGAAAACCGTAGCTTTTAAAGATTAATAAAACTAAAGGAACGGTTTCCTCGGCTTTTCTTGTCCTTTATAGTCACACAGTGCTTTTTAAATCCTGCAATTACTTTGCTATCTCTGTTTTCATGACACGAAGTGTCCTTTCTAACAGGTCAACGAAAACAGCTTCCTGCTGTTCTGTTTTTGGCTGAGTTATAACGCCAAGAAGTTGAAACAGGGTTTCTAAAAGGACCGTCTTCATTGCGGTACTGCCATTGGTCTCGCCAAGCCACATTTCAAATGTTGGGGATGGAGGTGGTGTGGAGAACATCTCATCGATATAACAGTCAGCTGAATCACCAGTTATCTGGTCTTCATCCTGAAAAACTGGGCGAAAGTTCATTTTGGAAGACTCAGACAAGCCACGACAAACCTTTACAGGGTCTTTGGTAACTTGGACACCTCGAGCCACAGGCTTTGGAGTTGAGGTCTTTGACAGGGAGCTCTTCTTTGTGTAATGGACTGGAAGTGATGACAATGGCGTTGTGCTTGCCTGTTTAGACTGCTTAATAGTAATATGTCTTGACGGCATCGTTGGCGAGAAATCGTTATCTCTTGGTTTTCTTTTTTGATGGTTTTTGTTGTCTCTTGAACTAGCAGCACCACTCACTTTTCGGGACAATTGTCGTATTAAGTTGCTCTCTACAATTTCAACCTCGGGACGATCCTGTTTTTGAGAGCTTGATTCTCTAGAGACAGCACGTCGACGAATCTTGGATGGTGTAGTGGACTCGTTGTTAGAGATAAAACTCTGTAACTTTCGTTTTGTTCCTGCCTGGGAATGGTTGTTCGCAGGATCTGTTGCTGCTTCTGCTGTTGCAGATGGTACCTGTTCACACCAAGGTCGTGGGCTGGACGTTTCACTGCTGACCGATAAACTTTCATGTAACTGTACCTGAGCAGTAGGCTGGGAGTACGTTGGAGGCTTCGGGCTTGAAATGAGTGGCGAAGTTTCCATCCATTGTGGCTGAAGAGATTCCACTGACACAGGAACTTCCGTAGCTATTTTGCAGCCAGATTGAGAATACTGTGTCGTCGGCCAGAATGTGTCTGAAGATGGTATCTCCTCAAGACATTCGTCTCTACTCAGAAGCACCTCCTCATCAAATGGTTTCGGTGTTGCGAGTTTTGTAACAGGCCCGGCAGGATACTGTGTCTCAGGCCCGATTGTGTCTTCAACTGAAGATTTTATCTGCTCAGGACATCCCTCTGCATTCAGCAGCATCTCCTGATCAACTGCTTTCGGTGTTGCGTTTCTTGTAAGTGGAACGACAGGGTGGTCATTGACTTTAGTCCCGGAGACATTATCTTTTCCACATTCTTGACCCCCCACTTTCATTTGAAGACTGTCATCTTCGTTTGAGCGGTTAAACCCTGGATCAAATGTTTTCACCAATTCATCCATGAGCATCTGCTGCTGTGTTGTCACCTTGGCTTCCATGCAGAATGGCACACGGCAATAGTAGTCCCTGCAGGAATTGGAATGAGTTGCAGCGAGGGACTTCATTCCTTGACAGATGGTACACTTGTCTACCTTTTCACAGAGCTGCACGTGCCTCAAAGTAAGTTTCAAGTTGACACAGAGAGGACGTAGACAGTTTGGATCTACACAGTCCAATGCATGGGGTAGAAAACTCTGTAGCTCATCACGCCACGCCTGACCAGACGCGGAATCTTTAGAAGAGGCCATTCCGCTGGTTTTCAGTAAGCTGAGACCTATAGGAAATAGTTTTTAATAGTTCAATCTAAGATGATGTCATCTAGTTATGAGCAACACTGTAAAATAGCGTTCAGTGGCTAGAGTGCAACTCTATCAGTTCTACTTTACGGTATGGTTCGGCCGGTTAGCCAATTATTTGCGCGGCAGGTCGAAGAAACGTAAGATCATTGACACTCATAAGAAATGGTTTAGTGAGAATTAAAATAGCCGAGTATCTATATTTCAATTAACAAGAATCAAACAAAATGCATACAAGGCGGCTTTACAATTTAATTCAACATGACAGGGAGGTGCTTTTTTCCCTAAATCGAAGCTATTTTTAAAGTGGATAATTTATTCATCTGCGGACTTATATATATAGGCATATTAAATGAACAACTGTTTGCTCAACCAGCTATGACTTGAACATCACGTACTGATAACGTTGCATAGTTGATCATTGTCAAATCAAGCCAATGTCACTGATTACGATGAAAATGAGCTTCTAAAACCTCTTTAGAAACTTAATCGGCGATTAACCGATCCATTGACGGTGAGTCAACAACGTCAGTTCAATGATCTACAGCGATACTAAAGGAACTGAAGTAAAGCTGTCGTTTTTAGGGACCTATTGTCGTCAGTTAGGGACCTATTACCTTCAAATAGGAGATAACAACGAAAGAATAGTTCACTAACGGAGGGTAGAACAACCGCAAACAGTGAAATGAGATTATCATTGCCTAACATTGAAGTTTGGGGAAGACTGCCGGATTTGTATTACAAGTCACACTAATTGAGCATTTTAGTCTACTGAATGTTTCACGATACGTCATCCATGACGTTAGGGTTGCTTGCATTCACGTGAATGCCATCACAATATGACAAAGCATGACAAAGCACTCGGACGAGTACTCGGTACATCTACAACATCATAGATTAATAAGAAAGCACNTGTTATTATTATAATAACAATAAATAAAAAAGTACATTTGCCGCATATTTGTTAGCTAAACTGCGATAGAATGCTACAATAAGGCTTTTTACAATAACTGCAGAAATTCGGGCGCGCTCGTGGGCTAAGTTTCATTGTCAATAAGCGGACAGACGCATGTATTTGTAACTGCTGCGGAGCGAGGGATGCGAGCGAGTAACAACATAATCAGGATTTAAGAAGAATATATAGAAGGGGGCACGAATTGTCGAATTCATCACTTTTTACCAGAATGCATTGCATTTAACCAGCGCGTACTGCGCCAATTTTACCAGAGTGCATTGCGCCACGAACGTCACAAGGACGTCACACCGTCGAGCCGTCGTCCTTTTTCGCGTAGATTCCAGTGAAAAAGTTTGCCCTGATTTACCCGTAAAGCGATGTGAAGGAGATCGTGCTTGACTTTCACAACTCTTGCTTTTGTTCCTTATGCAGTATGTGATATAAGGCACGACATTCGTGGAAAGCAGTTTTTTTTTATTTAATTACCTTTTATCTATTAGTTATTAGTAGTTTTAGCTGACGAAATTTTACCGTGTTTAAATAAAGATTATCTATCTATGATAAAGCTTTAGCATTTTCACGCATCGCGATGGACGCGTTGTCGACATAGTCTGTCAACATTCTAGAGATATTTTTATTAAAATACGTACCAGTACAATATTTATAAGTTAGATTTCTGCTCCAACAATTTCCACATCTTTCGATTTTCGCGATCTGGTAAAGGGGAGGTTGATGTGTACCGTTTTATGTCCAAACATAGTTCAATTCACTATGTGGGTTTTAATCTCGATCCCTTGTCACACCTAGCCATCAATACGTCATCATGTATGAAGTTGATGCATACAAGGACAGATTTTAAGTTACACACCACGATTTGACACTACTTAAGAAATAAAGATTAATGTAAGTCTTGGAACGCGCAGATAGATGAATCACTGTGTTCAGTATGTCACTATCAACAGAATGTGCTGCAGCATTACTAACTTTTAGATACCCTAGTCTATGTAATGCTGACGCGTCGAGCCGGAGAGCGGACAAATTGACAATTTGTTATTGTAAAAAACAAATTGACGTCAGTTTTTCATGCGTCTCTCTTGTTGTTCATCATGAATTTCTTCATAACATTGTCAAACTAGCTGTGGATCCACGAGACGATGGCATGATATTTGTATTAGTACGTATTTGAAAATACAAATAAAAAAGCAATAAAAAAGTTTGTGACTAATTAAGTTGTATATGCTGCATAAAGACGTAACTACCCGGTAAAAGAACGTTTGCTCTACAGGGAGCAGTGTCGCGTTACGACCGCGCGACAAAACGGTTGCAAAAGAGAGGGGAGAGGAACAGAATAGGGAGGAGGGAAAAATGGCGCCAAAAAAAGTTGGGAAGAGGGAGAAATAGGGCAAAAAAGTAGGGAGGAGCTAAAAATCGATATCGTGCAACATGGCGCACAGGGCAACTTAAAACGCAACATTTTGTTCCGGCAACATGTTGCAGGTTTTTGAAAGTGATTAAAAAACTTGCGACAAATTTTCAATGTTGCGTTAAAAATCGTATCGTGTAAATACCGTTGCCGACCGTTGCCGCAACAAAAGTTGCGTTAAAAGTTGTCTTAGCTTTTCTAACATGGATTAAAAATCGGCTTCTTCGTGGCCGCATGTAAACTCTGGTTTTAAGGCCAATGCGGTTAGTCTTGAAAAGATGAAAAGCAACACAACACAATTTCGAGTTAACTTTAAAACACTCGTTTTATTAAGAATCACACACTAAATACAACTTTCTTTTTCACAGAATTAAAAAATAATTGATAAGCATATAGCTATTTTTCGCACCATTAAATGTGGTGTACTGTGATTCTTTTATAAAAAGAATTATTATCAAACTCAATAAACACACTGCTCTGAAAAGTGACAATTGATCATAGACCTGTAAGCTGCTATGTAGCCTACCCAAGAAGGGCTAACGTATAACACTTATTTGGTTTGGGCTCGGGCACCTCACCAGGAAAAATAAAATTTCTTTTATCACTGGTTACCGAATTGAAGCCCAGCTACAATCTTCGCCAAAGCATAACTTAAACACTCGCCAAATTGTGAAATTATCATATTTGTACGAATGGAAAATCAACCCATGATTCTTTCTCTGAAAACAACGGCTTATAACACTTGAACAAAAAGAAATGAGTCGAAACATCAATCCGTAGCTTAGAAAACCGTAGCTTTTAAAGATTAATAAAACTAAAGGAACGGTTTCCTCGGCTTTTCTTGTCCTTTATAGTCACACAGTGCTTTTTAAATCCTGCAATTACTTTGCTATCTCTGTTTTCATGACACGAAGTGTCCTTTCTAACAGGTCAACGAAAACAGCTTCCTGCTGTTCTGTTTTTGGCTGAGTTATAACGCCAAGAAGTTGAAACAGGGTTTCTAAAAGGACCGTCTTCATTGCGGTACTGCCATTGGTCTCGCCAAGCCACATTTCAAATGTTGGGGATGGAGGTGGTGTGGAGAACATCTCATCGATATAACAGTCAGCTGAATCACCAGTTATCTGGTCTTCATCCTGAAAAACTGGGCGAAAGTTCATTTTGGAAGACTCAGACAAGCCACGACAAACCTTTACAGGGTCTTTGGTAACTTGGACACCTCGAGCCACAGGCTTTGGAGTTGAGGTCTTTGACAGGGAGCTCTTCTTTGTGTAATGGACTGGAAGTGATGACAATGGCGTTGTGCTTGCCTGTTTAGACTGCTTAATAGTAATATGTCTTGACGGCATCGTTGGCGAGAAATCGTTATCTCTTGGTTTTCTTTTTTGATGGTTTTTGTTGTCTCTTGAACTAGCAGCACCACTCACTTTTCGGGACAATTGTCGTATTAAGTTGCTCTCTACAATTTCAACCTCGGGACGATCCTGTTTTTGAGAGCTTGATTCTCTAGAGACAGCACGTCGACGAATCTTGGATGGTGTAGTGGACTCGTTGTTAGAGATAAAACTCTGTAACTTTCGTTTTGTTCCTGCCTGGGAATGGTTGTTCGCAGGATCTGTTGCTGCTTCTGCTGTTGCAGATGGTACCTGTTCACACCAAGGTCGTGGGCTGGACGTTTCACTGCTGACCGATAAACTTTCATGTAACTGTACCTGAGCAGTAGGCTGGGAGTACGTTGGAGGCTTCGGGCTTGAAATGAGTGGCGAAGTTTCCATCCATTGTGGCTGAAGAGATTCCACTGACACAGGAACTTCCGTAGCTATTTTGCAGCCAGATTGAGAATACTGTGTCGTCGGCCAGAATGTGTCTGAAGATGGTATCTCCTCAAGACATTCGTCTCTACTCAGAAGCACCTCCTCATCAAATGGTTTCGGTGTTGCGAGTTTTGTAACAGGCCCGGCAGGATACTGTGTCTCAGGCCCGATTGTGTCTTCAACTGAAGATTTTATCTGCTCAGGACATCCCTCTGCATTCAGCAGCATCTCCTGATCAACTGCTTTCGGTGTTGCGTTTCTTGTAAGTGGAACGACAGGGTGGTCATTGACTTTAGTCCCGGAGACATTATCTTTTCCACATTCTTGACCCCCCACTTTCATTTGAAGACTGTCATCTTCGTTTGAGCGGTTAAACCCTGGATCAAATGTTTTCACCAATTCATCCATGAGCATCTGCTGCTGTGTTGTCACCTTGGCTTCCATGCAGAATGGCACACGGCAATAGTAGTCCCTGCAGGAATTGGAATGAGTTGCAGCGAGGGACTTCATTCCTTGACAGATGGTACACTTGTCTACCTTTTCACAGAGCTGCACGTGCCTCAAAGTAAGTTTCAAGTTGACACAGAGAGGACGTAGACAGTTTGGATCTACACAGTCCAATGCATGGGGTAGAAAACTCTGTAGCTCATCACGCCACGCCTGACCAGACGCGGAATCTTTAGAAGAGGCCATTCCGCTGGTTTTCAGTAAGCTGAGACCTATAGGAAATAGTTTTTAATAGTTCAATCTAAGATGATGTCATCTAGTTATGAGCAACACTGTAAAATAGCGTTCAGTGGCTAGAGTGCAACTCTATCAGTTCTACTTTACGGTATGGTTCGGCCGGTTAGCCAATTATTTGCGCGGCAGGTCGAAGAAACGTAAGATCATTGACACTCATAAGAAATGGTTTAGTGAGAATTAAAATAGCCGAGTATCTATATTTCAATTAACAAGAATCAAACAAAATGCATACAAGGCGGCTTTACAATTTAATTCAACATGACAGGGAGGTGCTTTTTTCCCTAAATCGAAGCTATTTTTAAAGTGGATAATTTATTCATCTGCGGACTTATATATATAGGCATATTAAATGAACAACTGTTTGCTCAACCAGCTATGACTTGAACATCACGTACTGATAACGTTGCATAGTTGATCATTGTCAAATCAAGCCAATGTCACTGATTACGATGAAAATGAGCTTCTAAAACCTCTTTAGAAACTTAATCGGCGATTAACCGATCCATTGACGGTGAGTCAACAACGTCAGTTCAATGATCTACAGCGATACTAAAGGAACTGAAGTAAAGCTGTCGTTTTTAGGGACCTATTGTCGTCAGTTAGGGACCTATTACCTTCAAATAGGAGATAACAACGAAAGAATAGTTCACTAACGGAGGGTAGAACAACCGCAAACAGTGAAATGAGATTATCATTGCCTAACATTGAAGTTTGGGGAAGACTGCCGGATTTGTATTACAAGTCACACTAATTGAGCATTTTAGTCTACTGAATGTTTCACGATACGTCATCCATGACGTTAGGGTTGCTTGCATTCACGTGAATGCCATCACAATATGACAAAGCATGACAAAGCACTCGGACGAGTACTCGGTACATCTACAACATCATAGATTAATAAGAAAGCACTGAACTAGAGCTCAATCGATAAAACCTACGCTTTTTGACCTAAACTGTTACTGTGAACTCATAAGAAAATTACACACGGTATGTAAATCTTTGTACCATCGAAGATATGAAATATTGGTCTCTTAGCTTTACCTTGTCCATCTGACCCGGCTTATTCAGATCACTTGCAAGTAGTAAACTATATTTACCCCTTTTGATATCTCCTTCCACAACCGATTTAATTAGAAATCTCGAAGAGAATCCACACGACAGTTTCAAGGACACATTCGTTTGTTCTATCATACACTCCCGTCAACTGAATATTGCTTCACGAAGCGTCAGACTTACTTTAATAAGCCTTACAGGCCAGCCGGGGATTACAGCCATCAACCTCACAGTGAAAATGTTTTTGGCGTTCTCTCTTTTTTTTTTTTTTCAGTCTTGTTCAGAACACTTTCTTTGACTACCATAATCTGCCCAGTTCCAGCAGTCAAGTATCTTGCACTGTTGGAAAAACTAACGGAAGAGATTGATCTGTATTGTCGAGCCTTTCGTTTATAGGACGACTAGTCTACCACGAACGAACTTCAACGCCATTTGTACCCTGTTGCCGCCGCCAGTTCGAATTTATGGTCTAGCAACCGTAAAGGTACATCGGGCAGCAGCGATCCTGTCATGTCTTGTATTTAAACGAAGGCCGCTGGTACCAGCTTACCATGTATAAAAACGTTGTCTCACTTAGACTGATGAGTTTATGAACTATATCGAATCATACAATTGAAGGCCGAATTCGCTCTAGGTAACTCTTCCTTCATGCTAAAGCTGAAGCTAAACGATAAGCTACGAAGCTTATCAGTTGATGCTGCTGCCGAGTCTTTTAACGCTAATCCATAACGTATTTTAACTTAAATCCCTATTGATTTGTCCTGCAATTCATTCGTGAGTACTTTAGCGACTGAAATACTCATTCAGATTAGCATACTTTGGTAAACTAATATCAGAGTTTGGTCCGGAGATATTTGATTTTTTATGCTGGAGTAGCAAAGAACCGACAGATTATTCATGGTAGGATCGAAAAGCAGAATTACAGATTCAGAGAATTCCAGTTCCATGAAATTAATTAAGAGAGAAACAAAACATTTTGCTGACGCATAATAACATGGCCGAAAAATCGCGAACTGAAAATGTTGCCACTAACCTTGTCCGAAGAGGCAGCAAAAGCCAACGTCTGGCGAGTTCTCTTGTCACTATGTGGATGAGTGACTGACGTGAAATGGAAATTTGAAGGAGATTTCGCCTCACTTTAGATTGCAAGTAGCACATTCCTCGTCATGGGCGAAGCAATAAGGAGTGTCTGACGGTTTTTTTAGTCACTTGAGAAAAACAGTTGTTCTCTTAAGTGCCACTTGGAACGTTCTCGCTGACTGAGCGGCATGGTCTGCAGAAAGCCTCTGAGTATTTTGCAAAGGTTTTATTATATGTAGATCAATTTTGTTGGGAAATTGTTTCATTTCTTTAGTAAGTTGTTTATTTGTTGTTGTATCTAGCGTGACAAGCGAGCCTCATTCCTGTATAATTACAGACTTAAATGAGTCAACGCTATAAGCATTTCCGGCCACACCGTCACCTTTGTGAAGGCGGAAGATTATAACTAGGGTGAAAACAAACTGACTATTTGTAAAACATGTAACGGATCGATAACGGAGTTGTTGCATAAACTGTAAGAGTGCGGGCGAGGGGCTTGAAGAATTATCTGCAGATTTTTTCGGCTATTCAGAGCTCGCGCTTGTTCAATCAGGCTTGCGTGCGTGCGTGAGTGTGTGACTCACGGGGGATTCATGTTGGTATTAATTGCTTCCTGTATATGACATTGTTCACTTCAGTTGGCGAACAACTAAGGGTAAAACCCTTGCTTTTGAAGACACTAAACTGATATAGACTTAAGCATCACCGACTTCCCCTGTCGTCATTCGACACTCACATGCAACATTACCATTAAAACGTAATGTACAAACAAAGGAAATTAAGTAATCCGATTAATGAATTCTCAGTTATCCGGGTTTGGGTTATGTGGGCTCGATTTCCGCGGTTTTCTCAGACTCTGTTAAAATAGTTGAAATTTTCGCGCGAAAACGACTTGCTTTCGAAAAAAAAGCTGCCCTTGCAAGCGAGGTGCCAACTCTTTATCAAAGCATAGCTTTATAAAGCCCGTACCCGTCAGACCAAGCCATGCTCTCTCAAACTAGCACTCAGCAAAATCATTCAGTTTGTTTACGCTAATACATTCAGCTATTAAGCTTATTTATGAGAGCACGCCTCCACTGACAAACAATGCGAGGAATTGGAAAAAGTTGACGCTTAAATATTTGAGTAGTTTGAAGGTTAATTATTTAGTTTCCGGACGTCGTGTGTCATGGAGTCGAGTAAAGCTAGAGAAATTAAAGCTTAGACACTGATTTGGCGATTTTCACATGGATTCCTGTATAACTGAGAATGTGTCCAATAAAACAGAGGGGAAAAAAGTGAAAGTTAAAGTGAATTTTTACTTTGCTTTGTTGGTTGTTATCACAAACGTTTGCAAATATCTCCGTCACGAGTTTTTCGATTGGTTAATTGTAGTGAGGAAGAATTTTTAACCCGAGCGGGTATAAAAATGTTTCGAACCTTAGCAACTTTACATTTTCATCCAGCACCTGTGAATATTTCTCTCGGATCGCTGATGGAGAAAGGTGTTCTCTACATCATCTCGGGGGAAGGATTTACTCCTATGATCTTTATCAAAGTTACTGCCCAAATATTTCCGGCGAAATTCGACTCGGCAACACCGAATTTTTCCAGCATCACAATGTCCGAATACGGTAAGTCGGAAAACAACCGGCGAAGAAAAACTTCAGTTAATGCGACGCAAGTATCTGCGCCTTTTAACTCAACGCAAGGCTTGGGATATTGGAAGTGAACAGGTAAGGCCGGACAATTTTTGATGAAATATCACATACGTAGCAGGCGGACAAGCTGATTTACTTGCACACGCAGCACGGACATGCATTCAAAGTTTATTAAAAAAATACAGCAAAAAGCACACTTAGCTTTGGGTATTGAGTTAATTTATTGGGCTTGTAATGAAATTTAGGCATAAAAGGGTAAACGTCGTCCCAAAACGTTTCCTTCACGAATTTAAGCTTTGGGTCTTTGTGGTAGTGGAACAACAACCACCATGTATTGCCAATAAATTACATGTACATCTGTATATGACTAAAGCGTCCGACACGCCGCCTCTAAAACGTAACCTTACTTCCAACAGCCCAGGAAGCGTGGCCGAGTGTTCAGCGCGTCGGACTCGCAATCCAGCTGTCTCAGATTCGAGTTCCGCTCGGACCATTGCCTGGATTTGTTTCACGGTAGCCGAGTTCAAATCCTCGGCCACGCTTGTAACTGGATTGCCTCCGGCCAGTTGAGATTCTTAACAATGTTATGTTAAATTTCAATCATTTGTTTGAGTTGTTCGCGCGGCCCCTCTAGCCTTTGTGCTATAAACACTGCCGAGGGTAAATAAAGGTTGCACAAACAATAGCCTCCATTTTGCGCGGAACTCATCCTCGTCCCCAGAGGCCGCGCTCCTTTTGGTCAGCACCAAGAATCACGACTCTCTGTCCGGTTCCAACACCGGAAGTCTGCGATTCACGGACTTCCCGTCACTCTGCGCATGCTCAGAGTCAAGTCTGAAAAATCTGATTGGTTCCGGTCTCATTCTATTGTGTTTGCAAAGCCAATCAGAACCGGCATCTCACTGGACTTGTCCAGAGGTCGTGATTCTTGGTGCTGACCAAAAGGAGCGCGGCCCCTGGGGATGAGAATATTGGAAGGATAATAAACACAATAATAAATAAATAAATAAATATATATACATTTATATAGCGCCATTTTCCACTAATTGTCCATGGCGCTTTACAATACTTTAAAATTAAAATCCTAATTCTTTAAAAACCTAAAATCC